CCGCACCAGCACTCTTGTTGTTAAGTGCTGTTGAGTCGGTTCCGACCCACAGCAATCCTGTGTAGGGTTTCCTAGGAGCGGTTGGTGAGCTTGAACTGCCAACCTAGTGGTTCAAACTGACTTTGCAGTCCAATGCATTAGCCCACAGCACCACACCAGGTGGGCCTAAATTGCCAGCCTTTTTGTTAGTCTCACTGTAACCCACTGCCTTTGAGTGGATTCTGACTCACAGTGACCCAGTGCAGGGTTTCTGAACGTGTGAGTCTTTATGGGAGCAGACAGCCTCAACTTTCTTTCCTGGAGCACCTGGTGGGTTTGAACCACCGACCTTGCAGTTAGCTATTCGTAGCCAAGCGTTAACCATTTGTGTCACCCAGGGAATTCCTGAACTAGTTTCGGTTGAGTTGATTCCTACTCATGATGGCCCCAGGTGCTTCAGAGCAGAACTGTGCTCTTCAGGCTTTTTAGTGGTTGTGATCTTTTGGAAGCAGGTTGCCAGGACTTTCTTCTGAGGCGTCTTTGGGAAGATTCAAGCCTCCAAACTTTTGATTAGTAGCCTGGTGCTAAACTGCTTGTCCACCCAGGGTCCTGTCAGGTTGACAAGAGTTGTCATTATTGATGGGCACTCAAGTGTGTTCAGTTCTCAACTGCGTCCAGAGGGTAGCCATTCTGTTGTAGCAATATCTCACTTGGGTAGTATCTTAGTAATCTATGTAACTGTAACAGAAATACCACAAATGGATGGCTTCACCAGACTGAAATTTCTTCTCACCCAATTCAGGAGGCTGGAAGTGTGAATTCAGGATACCAGCTCTGGAGGAGGCTTTCAGTGTCTGTTGCTTCTGGGGAAGGTCCTTGTCTCCTTTCTCAACATCTGTGGGTCCTGTGTTACTTGGAGATCTCCTGTGTCTTGAAGGTGATCTTCTCCGGGGTCTAGGAGGGTCTCTGCAGAGGGACACCAAGTCCAAAGGACATGCTCCAGTCCTGGCTCTTCTTCCTTGGTGGTAGGAGCTCCCTCCGTCTTTGCGCATGTCTCTCTTCTCTTACCTCTTTTTTGTTTAATTTATTTATGGATGTCCATAACTCTTTGTTTTTTTCAAAGTTCCTATTGTGAATTGAGTGATAGTTTACATGGGAGAACGTCGGTTTTACACTCATGCCTCTGTGCATCATCGTTCAACAGTATTTGCTTCCATTCCCTCTGGGTTTTATTTATTTATCCTTTTTTTGGGGGGTGGGGTGCAGAGGAACACTCAGGAATATATAATCATTTAAACAACCAAAGAGCACATTCTACAAGGCTGCCTTCTGACTGCTGGCACCTGGCCACCAGCACACAGCCTTTCTTTTTCCGTAAGTCTAGAGTCCTCAGCTGCTCCCTCTCTCCATGTCATCATCTCTGCCTCCATTTCTGGTGTCGCTGCTTCTCTAGCTAGGGTCCCACATTCCTCTCCTGTTCTTCTCCCTTGATGGTCCAGGGTCCTGTCTTCATGTACCATAAGATTAACTACTCCCCCCTTTATGTTACAAAACTTCTACCTTTACAGTTGAATTAGTCATGATAACGATTACTCACCATTGAATCATAAGAATCTTATCCCCATCTCCTTTTACCAGACCCGTGTAAACAAGATGAAACAATTCAGTGGGGATTCTACCTTCCCTCACACACTCTTAAACTAAACTGCCTCTTGAAACCTTGTAAGCCAGTCACTTCATGCCATTATAGGCCCCCCCCCCCCCCTTATTTTAGGTAGCCACTGTCTTAAGTTGCCTGGCCGTATCTACGCTGTGTACAGAGGGGATTCTCCTGTTACTTCTTGTAAGATAAAAGATGATGCTGGTCACAGCCCAGGGACATGCCTCATACATCAGATCAGGACTGCAGCCTGGATAGGAGGAGTGTGGCATTCCATCCTGGTCCTGTCGCATTACCACAGAGACCAAGATTTACTAGACGTCTCAGATAGTAGATAATCACAGGAGATTACCTTGTGGAGGATGATCACATCACTACATGACTGAGATCATGGCCTAGACAAGTTGACACATACTTTCTGGGGGCACAACTCAACCCATGCTAGGCAGGAATTCTCGGTGAAAAGGGTGCAGTTGGAGAAGAACTAACCCTGTCCTGAATGATGGGGTAAATAGATGTATATTTGTATTTCTTATGTTGAACTGAAATGTCAGTGGCACAGTTGCCTATTTGTGTATTTTCACCTAAGTTATTGTCTATTAGAGCTGTTTATTCAGCCTAGATTTTCTCATTCAGCGTCTCTCATTGTCATACATTGGGGTGGCTCCTTCAGTATTTTCTCTCCTGATAAAAGTTGTCCAAATAACCAGGCGTTTTTTAATTTGTTTGACTCAGTAAGACTGTGGGTTAATGCACTGGACTGCAAGGTCTGTTTGAACTTCAGGGTCGGTGATTCAGGCTCCACCAGCTGCTCCTTGGAAACAAACCCGAGACAGGGTCTCTATGGGTCCGAATGGACTTGACAGCATTCACAACAGGTATATTTAGGAACTTGTTAGCAGAAATATGAATGGTCACTTTGACTTTGATTAGTACTGATTCAACTCAAAATTAACAGATTAAATCACAGTATGGAGCCACGCCCAAGACCTCTGCTCCATGTGTGTTTATGATGGTTCCACTGAAGGCCAAAGTGGGACTATGGATCTTACCAGAGAACATACCAGAGGAGGAATTTCCTTTTCTCTTTCCTTGGACCAGAACCTGTATATGTATCAAAAGAAGCCAGTTAGGGACTATCTTCATCAAAGATCAATTTTTACTAAGAAAAAGACAATGTACTTGTCATCCTTGGTATATTGGAGAGTTAGCAAAAAAAGATGGATACCTCTCAAGGAGATGGGTTGACGTAGTGGCTGCAGAAGTGGGCTCCAACATACCAAACTGAGCCTGGTACAGGACCGGGCAGGGCAGTGCTTTCTTCTGGCTGCATAACGTCGCTGTGAGTCAGAAGCAAACCATGGCTCTGAACAGCAACAACAGTAGTTTATGCAGACTTTTCTTATTCTATCTTACTTGGGGTTTCAGCCATCAAATAACTCGTATGGAAACTATATATATACACACACAGTGCAAAAAACCAGCACATAACCAATTTGATGGAGTAACACAACGTTCAGAATGAACCCTTTTCTCAATCTCTTGCTTCCCTCACCTGCTAGATCTTACAGTGGTTTCTCAAGCCACTTTGTCATGGGGACGAGCAGGGGATAGGTAGAGTGGAAACTGAATTGTTGTTTGAGAAAAGGGGACCCAGGGAGGAGGGACTCAAAGGCTTTGCCTCATCTGAGTGTTTTCAAAGCTCTATCTCAGCGGACCCGCCCACAGCTCAGGATGGATTAGAGGGTCACCTTTATCTCCACCAAGTAGCTTCACAGAGACAGGATGGATGTGGTCCCCCATGGCCAGGTCTGTCCACGTTTTCAATGTGGTGACTAGAACTTTGAAATGTACTTATGCGGCTCACATACCTCGAGATGGAGCTGTTTCTCTGCTATTTGCTCGACTTCACAAGCTTTCCTCAGGGAAATGCCTGATGCATGTGTTACTGTATCGCCCTATGCTGTGGGAAGAATGCGGCAACTTCCTGTTTAATGGAAGACGTTCAGCCACTGCAGTCCCCTGACCTGGAATGTGTGAGAGAGACAGAGACAGAGAGGTAGAGAAGGATCGTGAGTTCCAGAAATAGTTTCCACACAATTGACCCCTAAGCCCTTACTGCCTGACCATCCACACAAAGCCCCTTAAGCGTGGCGCTGGAGTCCTGGTGTGGTGCTGTGGGTTAATGCGCCAGACAGCAAAGCCGTTTGAACTGCAGAGTTGGCAGTTCAAGCTCACCAGCTGCTCCTCGGAAACCCTATACAGGTTGCTATGGGTTGGAATAGACTTGATGGCGCTTAACAACAACAACAACGAGTGCTATGGGATAAAGTACTGGACCGCAAGGTCGGTTTGAACCACAAGATCGGCGGTTCAAACTCACCTGCTGATCCTTGGAAACCCTACACAGGGTCGGTATGAGTCGGAACCAACTCGATGGCACTTAACAACAGCAACAACATAGAGTCCTGGCATAGTGCTGTAGGATAAACCCTGGGCTGCTAACCACATTGTTGGGAGTACAAACCCACCAGACGCTCCTCGGAAACACTATATGGTCACTATGACTTGGAACCTATTGGATGGTACTTAACAGTAAGTTTGTTTTGGAGGACAGTGAAAGTTCAGTGGTAGAATTCTATAGAGTCCTGGTCTGGTGCTACGGGATAAGCACTGGACTGCTAACTGCAAGACTGGTAGTTCAAACCCACCAGCTGCTCCTCAGAAATCCTATACAATCTCTATGACTCAGAATTGACTCGTGTGGGAGACCTGGGTATGGTTCCTGGCCAAGGTTCCCATAGCCACGCCCTGTTGTCACTGAAGGCTTGTGTGTTATCACCGTGAGGGACAGTAGAGCATCCAGACTTCATCCAACCTCATCTTTCTCCTGTGGAGCGGCTGGTGGATTCGAACTGCTGACCTTGCGGTTAGCAGCCCAACGCCTAACTCACTATACTACCTGGCTCCTTTCCCAAATAATTAAGACTTAGCAATTTGAACTGAACGTGTTATCAGCAATGACACATGAGCTGTATTTAGTTTGCTGATAAATATTGAAGTGTGTTGGGAGAACTGGAAAACTTAAAAGTGGCAAACATTTAATTCCACCACTGGCAAAGTCTCACATTCACCAAGTTTAGGGTTTTCCAGGCTGTAAATCTTTACGGGAGCAGAAACGCTCATGTTTCTCACATGGAGCAGATGATGGGTTTGAACTTACTACCTTGAGGTTCACAGTCCACTGCTTCTCCTACAGCCGCTCAGAGCATAGCTAGACCTCTGTTTTCTAAACAACCATTTTATGTTTTTTAACTGAAAAAAATAATCTTGCTGCTTGTTTTGTGACTTTTCCCCCCAGATACTGTCAGAAAAGTTATACAAAAGCAGTTTGACCTCTCCACGGATTATAAGGAGGTAAGTTTTTATTAATATGCATGTTGTGTTTAAAATACAATGGATGAGGAGAATTTTGACTTGGAAGTATGTCTCTAAACGTACCCAGTTATGTAATCTGAGATTCTAGTACCGTTTTTTGATGAAGAACATTCATGGAATACTGTAACACTTCATGGATCCCATTTGAACAGCAGCAGAAATATCAAGAATGGAGCTTGAAGAAACATTCATCTGCTAGACAATGTTTTTTAAAAACTAAAATTTCCTACAAAGAAATAATGATGCTACTCTTGTTAGCAAAGGGAGAAAGACTTCCTAAGCAGAAGGACTCATGGTGTAGTGCTGTAGGATCAGTGCTGGACTGTGAACCACAAGGTTGGCAGTTCAAACCTACCAGCTGCCCGTTGGAAACCCTATACAGGGTCACTATGAGTCAGAACTGACTTGACGCCACTTAACAACAACTAAGTAGAAAGGTTTGAAAATATTAATAATAGTGAGTTTGTTCTTTGTTTGAAAAGATAGCTTGTTAAAAATAAAAAGTCACTTCACATTTGCACAGTGTCTCTTGGGCACTTCCAGTGTATGCGGCAGAATACCTGGTGGTACCAACAGTTCAGTGCTCAGCTACTAACCAGAAGGTTGGGGGTTTGAATCCACCCAGAAGCCCCTGTGAGGAAAGCCTGCTGCTGACAACTCACAGAGACCCCTCCAGGACGGAGTGAAGCTATTCCTCAGGGTTTCTGAGCCTGTAAATCTTTACGGGAGCAGATAGCCTCATCTTTCTCCCGAATGGTAGCTGGTGGGGTCAAGCGCCAGCATTGTGGTTAGCAGCCCAGTGCTTAGCCCACCGCACCACCAGGACTCCTGGAAGGCAGGTCCAAACCAAACCCAACAGAACCCACTGCCATTGAGTCGATTGTGATGCATAGTGATGGCCTATGTGAGAATGTAAATCTTTAGGCGAGCTAGACCGTCTTCTCTTTCTCCTGTGGAGCAGTTGTTGGGTGTGATCTGCCAACCTGGCTGTTCATATCCCAGTGCTTAACCCTCAGCACCACCAGGGTTTCCTGAAGAAAAGACTGGTGATCTGCTCTACATCAGCCGACAAAACTCTTATGGGACTCGGTTCTACTCTGCAACGCACCCGGGGTCATCACGAGTTAGAATTGGTTTGACATAGTGACTTTCCACTCTCCCCACCCCCCTGACCCCCAATTTATGATTCTGGCATGTGGCACTTGAAAAAGAATAAGATAGTCTTCAACTGGCACAAGCAATTAATGTGCTTGCCTGCTGGCAGTTCTACCCAGAGGTGTCTCAGAAGAGGTTACGTCTGAAACATCAGCAATTGGAAATTCTATAAAGCACCGTTCGGTTGTGACACACACGAGTCAGCCTGAGCTGGAGTCGACTCAGTGGCAAGTGATTTTAAGATAGTCCTTGGTCTCAAGAGACTGAGAGCCAGATGCAGCGAGAAGAACTGATGATTTTAAGGAGAAGAAGGAAATGAGTAGTGGTGGCTTACTGGTGTTGGGCTGTTAAGCACAATGTTATCAGTTCAAACCCCCCAGCCTCTCTGTGGGAGAAAGATGAGGTGACTGGCTTCTGTGCAGATATCCGCCTTTGGAATCCCTATGGGACAAAGCATTCTTTCCGGTAGGATTACTATGAGTTGGAATTGACTTCATGGCAGTGGGCTTTTAGAGTTGCATGCAGCGGGGGTAAAGAAAAACAGTGTATTCTGACCAGCAGCTTTCCAGAGAGGAGGTGGCTCAGACAGCGCTTCTTGTAAAGGGTAGGCAGGTTGGGACAGGTGGGTAGGTGGCTGTGCTGGGCCACATGGATACAGTAATCATGTGAACAAGAAGGTGAGCAGGCCCATGGCTCCAGCAGGTGGGAGTGGAGGCTGGGGAAGGAAAGGTAAGTTGGGGCCTGATCAGAAGGGGTCCTTGAATGCCTTGCTATCCTAGTTGGGAGAACACAGCACCTTGTGGGTCTTAACTGAATACCCCCAAACTAACCAAGTCCATTGACTCATAATAACTGAATGCCCAAAGATATTGCTAATCCCTCCCTTTGATTATGTAACTGATTATTTAAGCACAAATATGTTCCTTTCGTTTCTGTTAATTATGGGTGTAGGTTGTCAGTGAAACAAAGAGACAAACATTTGTGGCATTGTTAGTCAGATAATAAAGAGCATTTAGCCTCTTGGTTGGGATATTTGTCCTACTTTTGTTACTTTTCCTTTCCTGGTGTGAAGATGGTTACCATGATAACATGGAAAGCAGGCTGCCACATGGGCACATGCATTTCGAGCCAGCTCAATAAATCTGACTTGCAACTTTCTGGGTGGTTGCGAGTTGGAGCAGGTAGTGGGGGTGGGTTGGGGAAGTCACTTCATTCTTTTCCAGTCAGTGGTTAGTTCAGATCCTGTTATGAAGGACATCACCTTACTGTCAACTTGCAATAAGTTGATACTTAATGACAAAGTAAACACAGGGGCCCATGAAGAAAGCTTTATCTAAAAGGCCCTTACGTTGGACTGCATGGTTGTCTACTTTGCATGAGGTCGCTATCTGATTTGGAAGCGACTCAACGACACACCTAACAACATCAACAACAATGTGATGGTTGTTAGTTGCCTGCCAGTCCATTCTGACTTCCACAAGGAAGAGTGTATACAAAATATTAAGTTAGCTGATGCTAGCCGACTTCTTTACTACTAGGAGAAGTGTTTTGATTCTTCACCAGCTTAGGCTTTGTATATGTCTCCCAAACATGACTGCCCATATCTGTGTGCATCCTGGGCCAGAACCAAATGCCTGTTCATCCATCTAAGAGCCAACTCTTGGTCTCTACTCATCTGGGGCAGAAGAGGAAGAAGGAAACCAGAGATGAAGAAGAAACTAGTCTACAGGACAAATAGTCTATGTGAACTGAGACCAGATGAACCAGATGGCAGCTCGCTACCACTGCTGACTGTTCTAATCAGGGCCCCAAATGGGAGAAAAATGTGAAACGGAATCTCAGATGTCTGAAAACAATAAAAAAAATAATAAAACCACACACACATACACACACGTAACAAAAACAAAAATCCAAACCTACTGAACTGCTTCAGACTGGAGGATTTCCCAAGTCTGTCACACTGAGATATTCCTGACATCTTAAACCCAAACTAGCCTTCGAGGCCACTTTGTAGCTAAATAGTAAACAGGCTAAAAACGTGTATATCACCTTTAAGTAGCATGCTTTTTTAAGAACCATCATCTATATGAGACTAAAATGGGCAATAATTACTTTAAAACGAAGATGAAACTAAGTGGGTAGGGAAACCAGATGAATGGAAATGGAACACCCACAATTGAAGTCGTGAGAATGCCCATGCATCTTAAAGAAGGTGACCCATCTATGTCACTTGTATTGAAATGTCGAATGGAAACCTAAACTGTTTTGTGAACTTTCCCCCCAAAACACAATAATGTATTGTTTTTAAAAAAGAAAGAAAGAAAAAAAATCAGCGTGTTGTTAGCAGCCTGGACCGAATGCCAACTCGTCAGAGGGGTAGAAGCAATACTTCAGTTGGGTCCAGCCTTTGGAGGACAAGGTCCTAAGATCCTGAACTGATGCTGAGGAACCAAGCAGATGTGGGCTGAAGCCAGGCTGCCACCATCCTTGGTAGGACTTTTAGTTGACAAATCTTCCCTGGTTGAATTGATTTGGGCCTCCTGCAAGCTTGGGGAATCCCTGGTTGCTTATTTAATCTCTTCCTCAGAGTGCATTTTCCAATGGAGAAGAACCATTGGTGTTGGTGAAGAAGAGAGCAGATACTTAACAGCTCACATGGATGAACTGAACCGCAGCTTGGACGTAGGACTGGATCATGTTTTCCGCAGTTAGCGAGGAGGAGAGATAGTTAAGCAAAGACAGCAGAAAAGCGAAATGCCTTTGTTAGCGGTGTCTTCTGATTGGTTTTAGACTGGAGAATGCTGGGTATCTTGGTTTGACTTTCTCCAGAAGTGAAGCCTGAGTTTAGGACTCAGGGACAAGTTGTTTATTGTGGGGCTGGGTGCTGGGAACGCTGGCCAGGAAATGGGGAGGTGATAGAAGGCAGGGAAGGCAGTCTACCTAGGTTTTGCCATTGCATCAGCAGATACAGGGACCACTGGAACCTCATCCTGTAGCTTGGCTGTGGGGCTCACTGAAACTCACAAGTAACACACAGGAAGGGTGAGCAAGTTGAGGTAGGGGTATGCCCAAGAGGCACTGGCTAAAGACAGCTTGTGAGGGAGATTGTGATTTTATTTCTCTCTCTCTCACACACACACATACACACAGACTGTGATTCCATAGTAAACCGTGGAGTACAAAATTAAAGATGCCAGGAAACAGCAGTCTGAGGGGGCCCACTGAGTTGGGTAGGATCCCAGGGATGTAGGCAGCCGCCAACAGTATCTACTATGTCAGCAGTTTGAATCCACCAGCCATTCTGTGGAAGACAGGTGGCAGTCTGCTTCTGTAAAGATCTTTTGGCCATGGTTAAAGCACTTGGTTGGTAACTGTTAGGTCAGGGTTCAAACCTGCCAGCTATTCCATGCCATATGTGGCAGCTTGCTTTCATAAAGGTCATCGTCTTGGAAACCCTAAGGGACAGTTTTATTTTGTCCTGTTGTTAAGTGTTGTTGAGTTGGCGTTGACTCACAGTGACCCTATATTGGGTTTCCGAGGAGCGACTGATGAGTTTGAACTGCCAACCTTGCTGTTCAAACCGACTTTGTGGTGCAGTGAGTTATCCTGCAGCGCCATGCTGTCCTAGCGGGAAGCTGTGAGTTGGAATCGACTGGACAGTTATGTATTTATTTTTTGTGTTTATTTAGACGGCAGTATCCCCTGGCTGTTGCATTGGTGCAATTAACCAGGTGAATGTTCTGGAGTAGAGTTCCCTGTGGACTGAGCTCTGTGTTCTTTCTAGTGTAGAGCTCGTACAGTCTGGACAGCCCAGTCAGTGACCTGACATTGGGGGTGGGGAGCTGCAGTGAACTCTTTCATCATAAGGAGGTTCAGATCCCTCATCCCTGAGGTGGCCCAGCTTTGGGAGGGAAAAATGATTGCTTATCCCACCTCTCTGCACTGGTAATAAGTAAGGTGCCATTGCTGTCAATAGGGATAGGAACCACTTGGTGAAACCTCCCCAAATCTGTTTCCATGTGGTCCTGGTCTCTCCTCCACGGTTAGCTAGTTGGCATCTTCCTTGCTCATTTCATTTCTCAGTTGTTTCCCCTCCCTTTCCTGAGGATTCCTCTGGGACAGGTGCAAGCTAGGGGACTTTTCCCTGCTGGTTTTAATGACCCCGTTCCTACTCACAGTCATTAGAATCACAGCCAGGTGGCACTAGTAAATGTCAGACCATCATGACCAGCGGGCTTGTGATGGCTGGGACCACCCCTTCATGTCTGCAAGCGGTCTGCATTAGCTACCCAGACCCCACCATACCACGGAGTGTCGGATGAAGAAGCATCTCAGCCTTCGCATGGGCCTTAGAAGTGAGGATGGGGAAACTTTGACTTGCTTACCTTAAAGTGGACACATTATCAGGAAAGACTAGTTACTTAAAAAAACAAAAAAGGACATCATGTTCTGCGATAATGAGATGGATAATCACAACAGCCCCAACAGTGGACTCAAACAATGGACTCAGGAAGATGGAGCAGAATCAGGCAATGTTTTTCTATTGACCGCAAAGCCGCCATGAGTGGAAAAACTAACAACAAGAAACAGCCCTACCAGAACCTCCAAAAGTTCGCATGCTCCTTTCTGCGTATGAAAAGTACATTCCCGGATCTCACAAAGCATTTAGACAGAAAACAAGACTCATTGTCTGGGATGAAAACAATGCTAATACTGAAGGTACTGGTCACACACGGTACAAAATGTGGTAATTCAGGTAACAGACAGGAAGCAGCACACATAAAGGGTTGAGAATAGACTCATGACAATGCATTGGTAGTTAGCAGTGTGTCCTCTTGAGGCCATAGCTTTGTAAGGTCAGGACTGGCTATGCCCATTATGTTGGTAAAGTTACAGAGTCTCACAGTAGCATTGGCAGTAATGCCCACGCCCATCCCTATGAGATTGTGAGCTCAGTGGTCAGGTTGGGTGACCACTGGGATTTTGAAACATTTCTTTGTAATGAGAAGTTGGAGGGGAAAATCACAGCAACAACATGGCAGAGCCGGGATTCAAGCTGCCCCACACGACACGCACACTGCATGATGTCTAGCCGGGAAAGAAAATAGGTAAGAATGCCCCCAGCTCCACCTAGGTGTTTGCTGTTCCTGGCTGACATTTGGGAAGGAAATGAAACACAAAAGAATTGGCTAACTATTGTGGTTTATAGTTGGTTCTGTCCCTAACCACAGCCCAGAGTGGCTGCCTTGTAACCCTGGGCAGGATCCCCTAACTTCCTTAACCGTATCCATTACACGGGGGTTCTTTTAAAGACAGGTTCTTAATCCCACCTGAATCTCCTGACTCACCATGCTTGGAGTGAGTGTGTTTAACAGGCAATCAGTGTGTTTAGCTCTCCTCCTCTGGCAGTGTTTGTGGTGGCTAAGTTTGGGAGCCTGGTCTCCCAGTGGTAGAATTCTCTTCTTCTAAACAGTGCTCCTAATGTGCAGCCACTACCTATCTGTCAGTGGAGCCTTGCTTATTGCTATGATGCTGAATGGGTTTAAGCGGAGCATTCAGACTAAGACTAGGAAGAAAGACCTGGCAATCTGCTTTCAAAGATAGACTCATGGCCCCTGTAGGTCACAGCAGTCTGATCCATAACAGGTCCTGGATATGGTGTTGTTCTGTTGTGTGTGGGGTTACCAAGTGTCAAGGCTGTGTCCATGGCAGCTAACAACAGCAGCTCTCCATGGTAGCAGGCTGATGGGACTCATGCCTGGAAAAGGAGGTTGGGCTCATTCAAGATGTATCATGGGACCCGGGGGTACAATCTGTATCTGACCTGCCCGTCCCCAGGATCAATTTGGAACGCACCATTAAAAAGTATTAGATCCCCTAGACCAGAAAAAAAAATTTTTTTTTAAATAGGGGAATGATATAAAACCATCTAATTTTGTTTTAAAGAGCCCTGGTGGCACAATGGGCTAAACATTGGACTACTAACTGCAATGGTGGCAGTTCAAATCCACCTGCCACACTGTGGGAGAAAGATGTGTCAGTCTGCTCCTGTAAGGATTTACAGTACTGGAAACCCCATGGAGCAGTTTGCTTCAATGGCAGTGAGTTAATTTTATTTTACTACCATAGGTATTAAGGAGTGCTGGTGTGGCACTGTAGGATAAACACTGAACTGCTAACTACATGGCTGGTGGTTCAAACCCTCCAGTCGCTCCTCAGAATCCCTATACAGGGTCGCCATGAGTCAGAAATGACTTGATGGCACTAAACAATAACTAGTGTGTTTTTGGAGTCCTGGTGTGGCACTGTAGGATAAGCACTCTACCATAAGGTTGGTTTGAACTACAAGGTCGGCAGTTCAAACTCACCAGCCGCTCCTTGGAAACCCTACACAGACAGGGTTGCTATGAGTCGGAACGGATTTGACTGCAGTTACAACAACATGGGTATTCAGTAGAAACAATCATGACTTTGTCTTCCATTATATCCATAACCACCCCACTAAATAAAGGAAGGACAGTCTTATAAATAGAACAACTTTAGCTTTAGGGAAACCTCGTTGTGTCTTCTTTATTCATCTCACTTCATTGGGGTGGGTCCACCCTCTGGACCACTGGTTAGGAGCCATTGTTTTAAGAGAGATTCCCAGTCCATCCAGTTTGATTAAGCACCGACAGTATACTAGTTGTTATTGGGCACTTGGATAGGGAGTCCTGGAATGGGTCAGAGATGGTCAGCAGGGGCCCATGGCTCTATGTGGGTTAATGCTGTGGGAGGGTCAGGGTAAGGCTCGATGGCAGCTGGAAAGAGGGATGCACTACAAGCCCAGACTTGGTTATCAAGACAGCTTTCCTGGGAGAAATGACGTCGAAGCTTACATTTAGGTTTCATCAGGCCAGAAGACAAAGAGGCAGCATGGAGGAGGGCTAGACAAGGAACGGAGGGAGAGCATGGTGCATTCTGGGCATGGAGGGAAGAGAAAAATGGAGACACGAAGCCTGGGTTAGATCACGTAGCACCGCAGTCAGACGTTTTGATTAAGAGCGGTGGGAATCCGAGGAACATGGGAGAACTGGGGGAAAGACACCATTAGAGTCCTGTTCTAGAAAGGACTCAAGATCACCTGGAGAGTGTATTGAGCATTTGTAACTTTCCTTCTAATCATTCCCGTTGCTGAAGCCAACGAGCACATTGTTGAGAAGTCTCTGTAGAAATCCCAGTGTAAATTTCAGAACCTAACTTAGTCCCAGAATGCTCTTTTCTCCTTCCATGCTTCTCTCCTTCTGTATCCAGCACTTGATTTTTCCTGTCTGTGTCCTTGGTTACCGTTGATCACTCACGTGGCTTATTCTGTTTTCCTGACACATGCTGCCTCTGCCTCACACCGACTCCTTAACTGCCTTGATTTCACAGCCAGAAAATGTGGTCTTGGCTCTGAAGGTAAATTCCTTGTCTCCTGACTGTTTCGTGTTGCCCTTTGTCTAATACCAGTGAGTAGTTGATGCTTTTGCACGAGTCCTGGCTGGGATGTTTTTAAAAAAGTTATTAGTTTCATTTTTGCTTCTGCCTTAATCTTCCATCCTCTTCTTTTAGTTTTAATAGTTCATGAGTGAATAGCAAGACTTTTCTGTACATCTCGATCTTACTTTTACAACTTCAACATAATCTACAAAGCAGCCCCAAATTCTTAGGCCTATAGCCTAGAAGTTAATGCTTGAAATGGCATATCTTGGTTCTGAAAATGTCTATCTAAAAAGTAACAAGGGACAGGAACCCTGGTGGAGCAGCGGTTAATTGCTTGGCTGTTGGCTGCTAATTAAAATGTTCGTGGTTCGAACCTACCTAGCAAGTACTTCCGTGGGAAAAAGACATCAATATTACAGTCAAGAAAACCTCATGGGACAGTTCTTCTCTGTCACATGGGTAGCTGTGAACTGAAATCAATTCCACAGCACCTGCCACCACCAACACTGGGAAGGTTGTATGTAAATTATGCCGTTTGTATTTGGAGCTCAAAGTTAGTACATTTAAAAGATGGCTCCGTATGGATCTTGTTAAACTAGACTCGGATTCAGTATAGATGGGGTGGAAAGTCACATTCCCAGCATGGAGGTCGAACCAGAAATGAACTGGTTTTGAAGCCCTGATTGAAAACATCTAAGTAGACCTTCTTTCTTGAGTCTGGCCTCCTGGGACTCAGAAAAAGACTTAAGATAATGCTTGTTGAGAAACCATAGCAAAATATCTCACTAGGAGTTTAGAGTGTCTGGTGCTGTTTTCTCAATTGGCCAATGATGTTAGCTCTCAGGTAGGTTTAAAGAATCAGCTAATAACCACGCTTCAAAAAGATCTCATGGACATTGTGGGGAGGCTGGTCAGCTTAGTTTACGCAGGAGCAGGCCTTGATGAAAACCATAATCAACCACAGTTCTTTGTTTTTAGCATTCTTACCTTGACATCAAGTAGATGATCTTCAAGTGCCATTTGCCCTTGGCTCTTAAGCATTTGTTGGTAATTGAACTAATACTTAGTGACTCTTTGCTGGGCATTTGGCTTGCAGTTCCACATTAGATTTAATTCTTTATCCTTTGCACTATCTTTATGAGGCTTGTGCTAATTTAACGTTTTCCAGATGAAGGAAGGAGAAGCTGGCTACCTGCTGGGATTGGAAAGCAGGACTTCTGGCTTCAATTTCAGTGAGCTCTTCCCAGACAAAAAAGCAAAACTTGTTCTCTGCTCTGCTTTGCTCTGCTTTGCTTTACTTAGCTGGTCTTCAGAATGTGTTGCTATCTAGTTTGTCCCTTAGCTGTAAACTGCCACTCTCATATTGTTTGCCATCCTTAAGCAATGTCTTAACTTTAAGGAATTGTAATTTGCATGCATGAGATGGTGTGAGATCACGTTACCTCTCCCAGGTTTTCATTCATCTCTGGAATAAAGGCAGCAGAGATTATGACACTGTATTTAAGTCATGGGACTATGTCTAGATGTGTGCTGGTTCCAAGGAATTCAGAACTACAAGACAGGCTGCTAGGCCAGCACTCCGTTGGTCTAGAACCCCATGGCAGTGACATTTCCTGTCTAGATGTGCCAGGTACAAGTATACCTCACCTGACGGCACTTTGCTTCCTTGCGCTTTGAAGATGTTGCGTTATTTACAAATTACAGGTTTGTGCCAACCTTGCCTCCAACATGTCTATGGGTGCCATTTTTCCCACAGCATGTGCTTACTTTGTGTCTCTGTGTCACATTTTGGCCACGCTCATGATATTTCAAATATGTACATCATGCTATTGCACACAGAACGGACTGCAGTGTAGTGTAAACAAAGTTTTTATATGCACCAGGGAACCCAAACCAGAGATTTGCTTTTGTCTGGAACTGAGACCGCAGTATCTCTGAGGCCTGCCTGGATTTGGCACACGGCCTACATGATTGCGAACCTTCCAGTAACATTATGAGGCACATAATGCTATCCCTAGGATGTGGATGGGGACGTGACATGAGTCTGTAATTGGTAACCTGCCTGGCTCTGAAACATTGCGCTTTTTTATTTCTAAATTTTGGCATGGTCTCATGTAACTAACTGACCGAATCCAAACTCTGCTGAATCCATACCAACTTCTACTGGCCCTAGCTTCCTGGTGACTAGAAACTTTCATATGAATTTGTTAGAAAAGAATTCCGATGTGGCGTAAAAGACACTCGGTGAGACTTAAAGACCTTGGCAAATCAAAATGTACGCTTGCAGGAGGGTGTGTGTGCATAGCTGTGCACACAGGGACAGGCCAGCGAACGCACCGAGTGGACAGTCCACTGGGTTGTTAATCCCTGACGGGAGTCTCATGGCTGCATCTCACCTCATTGGCTAGGGCTCTGACCACACAATCTTTTCCCTTACCCGGTTGGCATGTTCAAATTTCTAAGGCATGCGTTCCTATTTGAGGAAAGGAAAAAGAAAGATTGTAACATCTTTACTCACTTCAGGAAGTTGTTGTTGTTGTCAGGTGCCATCGAGTCGGAACCGACTCATAGCGACCCCATGCACAGCAGAACGAAACAATGTTCGATCCTGGGCCAACCTTACTACCGCTGCCACACTTGATGCCATCAATGATGCCACCTGGCTGATCCATCTCGTTGGGGGTCTTCCTCTTTTTCTCTGACCCTCCACCCTACCCAGCATGACATCCTTCTCCAGCGATTGTTTCCTCCGGACAATATGTCCAAAGTAGGAGAGACGAAGCTTAGCCATCCTGGCCTCCAAGGAGCACTCTGGCTGCACTTCTTCCAAAACAGATTTATTGACTTCAGGAAGTAGTCAAAGAAAAAGAGAGCATAAAGTCTTTACTTCGGGAAATAAAGAAAAAAAGAAAGGTTACCCAAATATAATGAACAGGATTATAATAAATATGTATATATATATATGTATTTTCACCCACAAATTTATCTGAATCACAGGGTTGCTGTGAGTCAGAACTGACTCCATAGGACACCTCCTCTACCACTACCCCACATTATATTATTACACACACACACACACACACACACACACACATAATATTGGAGTCTTGGTGTGGTGTGACGCTGTGGGATAAAACACAGGACCAGAAGTTCAAACTCAGCAGCCACTCCTGGGAAAAGCCATACAGGGTCGTTATGAGTCATAACTGACTCGAAGGCATATTGCTGTGATGCTGAACAGGTTCCAGTGGCACTTTTAAATGAACAGACCAGGAAGAAAAGCCTGGCAAACGACTTCAGAAAACGCTATGGATCACAACTGTCTAATCCACAACCACAAACGCAGGGATGGCCTACAACTAGGGCAGTATTTCATTCTGTTGTTCCCGGGGGGTCACCATGAATGGGAGTGTGGTGGGGTGGGAGCTGCTAATAACAATGTGGCTGTTGATGACCGTATGCACTATGCATACACACACACACACACACAGATTCCGCTCCTGATGACAGAAGAACCAGACATACTGTGTAAATGTCTACTTGATGCTTCTCTTGTCTGATTTGCAGGTGGTCTACTATGAAATTGGCTTCCTTGTCTGTGCCACCCTGGGACTTCTCTTTGTTATTCTGATGCCTCTGGTGGGGTGCTGCTTCTGCATGTGCCGCTGCTGTAACAACTGTGGTGGAGAAATGCATCAGCGGCAGAAGAAAAACGGGCCCTTCCTGAAGAAGTGCCTCTCCATCTCCCTCTTGGTGATTTGTATATTGATAAGGCAAGTAGTGGCTTGGACGCCAGTCAATGAGGACTACCTCACGTTTGAACTGGGTAAGCCCATGAGTCTGAAATAAAACCAGAGACGGAACAGGAAAAGGGAAACAAAGGTGCTTGTGCATTTACTGATTTCAGGGTTAGACGTTAGTGCTGTAATTAAGGGGCATTAATGTAGCTGAGGAATCAATGGGTGAAGCAAAGGCTTGAACACTTGACTGCTAACAGAGAGGGTGGGGGTTCAAGGCTACCCAGAGGCACCTCGGAAGAAAGGCCTGAAGATTTATTTCTGAAACAATCAGTCATTGAAAATCCTAAATGGCATAGTAAGCTAAGCCTGGGACTGCTAACCACAAAGTCTGTAGTTCAAATCTGCCAGTTGCTCCTCGGGAGAGAGATGACGATGAGGCAGTCTGCTCCTGGAAAGATCTGCACCCTCAGAATCCCTTTGGAGCAGTTGTACTGTGTCCTGTCAAGCTGCTACGAGTCGGGATTGGCAGTGGGTTTTGTTTGTGTTTTGGAAACCCTATGGAGCGCTGTTAAAATCTGACACAAAAGGGTGGGTCACCATGCCCCTTGACAATATTTGGTTCCACTTAACTGACAAGTCAACCCATCTGGTCTGTGTTGATTTTGAAGACACCCTGATACATTTCATGCTGCAGCAAAATTTTATCTCCCACAACAGTGGCTCGCTCACGCTTCTTCACCAGCTGCTTGGGAACAGACGGTATGCAGGGATGCAGAACAGGTATTTGTTAATTGATTTGTAAGGCCAAAGGAATCGGAAGAGTGGCTGTAGTACCTGGATTTGAGAATTTGATTAAATTGGAGTGTGGCATTACCTTTCTAATAATAAACCTCTATGTTCCACAATAAGGAGCCCTGGTATTATAGTCGGTTCTGTATTGGGCTGCTAACTGCAAGGTCAGCAGTTCCAATCCACCAGTCGCTGTGATTGAGATAGATGAGGTTTAATGCTCCCGTAAAGATTTAAAGCCTCAGAAGCCTTATACAGGGTCACTGTGAGTCTGGAGTGACTTGATAGAACAAAGCCACCACCATGTTCCACCGTTAGCCTAGGTTTGTATTGCTATTATACTGAATAGGGTTCCCGACTAAGACTGGTACTGAAGTCAGTGAACACCTTATGGATCACAACTCTTGAAGCTGGTTGTGTATGGGGTCTTCACACGTCAGGGGCTGATGCAAAGGCAGCTCACAAAAAGCCTCCCTTGAAGCCTGGAACATCCTTTCTGACTGTGTCCCTTGCTGCAGCTAAGAGTTTTTCCAATTGACTGAATGATGAGAAATTTGCTGCTGTTTAGACATGACTGTCTCATGGGGTCCAAATTGGATTCCTCAGCTTCAGAATGTGCTTCACGATGCCAGTCCCATGGTTGTGTTACTGTCCTCCCATTTCCTCATCCATTCAGCCAGCATCTCAGTTAACAACAGACATAAAGTCCCTGCACAGTGCAGTTCCTCTGGTTGCTTCTCCAGGTATCTCTTTTTTGTTTGTTGTTGTTGTTGCTAACTTCCATCGGGTAGGTTCTGACCCATAGCAACCCTGTGTAAGGTTTCCAAGGAGCAGCTGGTGAGCTTGAACCACCAACATTGCTGTTCAAACTGACTTTGCAGTCTAGCACATTAACCCGCAGCGCCACACCAAATTTAAACAGAAAACAGTAAGACTTACTTTGCTGAAATTCTAGCTCCAAACCTAGGAAAAGTTCCTTATGAGTGATCACTTCAGTTCCCTTCAGCAGGGGCTCACATAGGGCCGGAGAATGACCAGTGTTACATCTGTCTTTAAACAGCTGGGGATTGGGTCGGGTTAGTCACGCCTCCTCTTCTGCAATCAAGTCCAGTGAGGTGGTCTTATTCTCAGGAGGACGGGGTTACCGAAACCTCTTCCCATGGTTGCAAGGCTCAGGAGTCTAGCTCTGCATCCAACGGCCATCCAGATAACTTTAGAATCTAAGAATTTTGTTTCGTTTTGTAACTTTGCTTTTCCTTTGGGTTGTTGGTTTTTCCTTTCATTAGTTAGTCTGCCCGAGACCCCGAATATTCCCACATGTTGGCATACACATGGCGACCTCCACGTTATTTTCCACAGCACACACAGAAACATGTTTGAATTCTAATTGTTCCAGAGTTTTCACTGTTGCCTTTCATTTGTGGGGAGTCCTTGGCTGGTACAGACAGTGCACATGCTCAACTGGTCACTGAGAAAGTTGGAGTTCGAGTCTCCCTAGAGGCTCCTTGGAAGGCCTGGTGACCTACTTTTAAAAAATCTGCCAAAGGTAAAACCCTACGGAGCACATGAAGTTGTGATAAGTCAGTCATCTTGACCAAAAAAAAAAAAAGTCAAAAAACTATGTTTTAAAATGGCAAAAGATAGTGGTTCTCCATCTGTGGACTGAAACAAGTTTTGTTTTCTTTAAAAGTCCTGAGAACAGTATTAAATAATGTTATAGGCTCAGGGTAAGAAGGGTGGCGGTCCGTGAGTTGCTGAAGTTTGAAGGATTTATAAAACAAGTGTTATACTTGAATATCGATTTGGACTCATGGCACCTCTACGCGTGTGCAGTAGGCCTGTTCCGTAGTCTAGGCTATGATCTTTTAGAGATAGATAACCAGGCCTTTCTTCTGCAGTGCATCTGGTGGGTTTGAACTACCATTCTTTCTGTTAGTTGCCAAGTGCTTAACTGTTTGTGCCACCTAGGGATTCCTGAATTAACAAAAAATCCCCCCTCTCCAGTTAAAAACAAAAACCACTACAAAATGCATTACTTCTTATTCAGGGGCAGTGATTATTACAACACAGGCATATTTTGCTGAAAATAGTGGAATAATGTCGTTGTTGTATAGTACCGTCGAGTCGATTCCGACCCATGGTGACTGCGTATAGGGTTTCAGAGGAGAGGCTGATGAGCTTGAACCACCAGCTTGAACCACCGACCTTGCAGTTCAAACTGGCTTTGCAGTCCAGCGCGTTAACCCACAGCGCCACCGCAGGAAGCCAGTGGAATCCTAGTGTAATCAAAAGTGGATGAAGGTGAATGTGTTCGCTATGTTTAGGGGCTGTTGACATTGGAGTGTGGCTGTCTCTCTGTTTCTGTCTCTCTGCTGCTCTCCTTCTTTTTCTCTGTTTAATTAGTACTTTGAATCTGACCATTTCGTCACACTGGATTCTGAGAGACAGCTGAGGACTGGGCAAGTGGTACCTCCAGCTGACCCTGTCACTCTCTGCTTTGCATCTGAAGTGCTCTCAGGAATATATAGCCTACGGTTGTGGGGCCACTACCTCCTCCCCAGTTACCAGAAAAATGTCAGATCCACCAAGGAGCTCCGTGTGTTTCCTGTGAACCAGAAACATAGCATGCTTCATCTATTCATGGGTTTGGAATCTATGCTGTGCACTGGGCTGCTAATCGAAATGTCAGCAGTTCAGACCCACCAGCTGCCTCCTCTACAGATTTACAGTCTCAGAAACCCTAAGGAGTGGTTCTTTTCTGTTCTATGAGTTAGAACGGGCTCCACAACAGTGGGGTAGTGGGTGGGACTTTTTAGTTTTTGTTTGATATAGGATATATAACTCCAAGAAATTCCTTTATTACATGTAATCATTAATTTGCCTGGATATATATTTATTACTATATCCAACTAATACATTATTAATTCACTTGGATATATTTTTATATAGTGGTGGTGGTGGTTATGTGCTATGGAGTAGCTTCTGACTCGTAGCAACCCTGCACAGAGTTTCTGAGGCTATAAATCTTTACAGGAGCAGAAAGCCTCATCTTTCTCCTGTAGAACAACTGGTAGTTTAGAACTGCTGACCTTGAGGTTAGCAGCCCAACTTGTAACTACTACGCTACCAGAGCTCCTCATTTATATATAATAGATATAAAATAGCCAGGTAAATATGGTGGTGGTAGCTGTGTGCCGTGGAGTTGGTTCTGACTCATAGCAACCCTGTACAGGGTTTCCGAGGCTGTAAATCTTTATGGGAGCAGAAAGCCTCATTTTTCTCACTCAGAAGAGCTGGTAGTTTCGAACTGCTGACTTTGCAGTTCACAGCCTGATTCATAACCACTACACTACCAGAGGAAACAATCGTTGGAGAAGGATGTCATGCTGGGTAGGGTGGAGGGTCAGAGAAAAAGAGGAAGACCCCCAACGAGATGGATCGGCCAGGTGGCATCATTGATGGACTCGGAGTGTGGCGGCGGTGGTGAGGTTGGCCCAGGATCGGACATTGTTTCGTTCTGCTGTGCATGGGGTCGCTATGAGTCGGTTCCGACTCGATGGCACCTGACAACAACAACAACAACACTACCAGAGCTCCTGGATAAATATATAATCCAGATAGAATATAGACTTCATTCAAAACAAAATCTAAAGCCCATATCTATGTAAAGATACTCATGTTTATATAAATATTTACATATTTATATAATAATGGATTTTAGATTTTGTTTTGAATGAAGTCTATATTTTATCGTGGGTTCTCTTTTTAAATTTATGTATGGGTACTATAGTTTAAGGAGCTTTGGTAGCATAGCGGGAGAAGGATGAGGCTTTCTGCTCCCATAAAGATTTACAGTCTTGGAAACCTTGTATGGGTCACTATGAGTCGGAACTGACTCCATGGCACATAACAACAACAACTGTAGTTTAGTTTGAGCCATGTGGGTTGGTTACATTGTATTTAAAATAAACAAGACAGTTATTGCAAAATATATAGCACCAACTATTACTTCTACAGCCCTCTCTACTCAGCTGGGTGAATTAATCCATTACAAGGGCCAAACAGGTGACAGACAGCATATTTACTAGCATGGGAGTTGTTAGGTCAAAATTTGGGGTCAGAAATGTCCAGGGCACAGCTGCGATCAATGACCACAGGACACACCACTCCACCATAAGCCTCAGCCTGAAGGCACTCAGCTCGACCTCTGTGGGTCTGCACACCTAGCACCCCCACTTAAATAC